GGGCCGAGGGACTAGGCGCCTGGCCTGATCCTTGAAGACAGGAAAGACACGTGGACCGAGAGCTTTGCCACAACACAAGCTGGTGGGATGAGCGCTATGAGGGCCGAGAGGAAAGATAAATTACTTCCAGTTGTGGAGAGTTTCACGGAGGCCGTGGCATGTAAGGGAGGGAAAGGAATCTGCACAGAGACAAGGCTGAGGCCAAGGCAGGAGGCAGAAGGCGGGGCATCATTCCATATACAGTGGGGCAGTGTGAACAAAGGCAGACACATGAGGGGGCGGGAGATGGGCTGGGTCCGTGCTGGGGAGCACACATCTGCTCCCACTCCCACCCCTACCCCTGCCGCTCGTCCTGCTGTGATCTCATGTGCTCTGCAGACAGCCCGCTGGGCGGCTGGCAGGCGTGGGAGCACCCCCAGCTCCTCTGGGGCCTCTGCTGGGAACTTGGACTCAAAGAGCCAGAGGGAAGGAGCTCCTCCCAAGACCACTCGCCCCAAGAGGCACCAGTGTCTTAACCCTCAGAGTTCCCAACGGGCCAGCCGGCCAGCCAGTCAGAACCAGGTCTCTGGGGGAAGCTGTGAAAATGTAAACTGCCCTAGTTCCTGTTCCCAGAGCCTGCAGAAACAGGCTTCTCCAACGACGACGTGTAAATCCAGAGGACACTGCCATCTTGTGGCCCAGAAACCCAGACACCAGGAAAGCTGGGAAGGGCCCTGTGCCCCTGAGGGACCACAAAGCTGGAAATGGCGGGGACTGAACTTCATAATGAAACCAAAGTAACGTGGGCATACATTTCAGTCAAAACCACGTCCCGTTTCTGGCTGCCAGGTTCCTGAGGTGCAGGGGTTGTGTATTGTGCAGATGAGGAAAAACTGCCTCCTGGAGAGATAGGTGACTGGGCCAAGGTCACATGTGGCCAAGTACAGAGACACAGAGACAGGTCTTACCCCAGGGTCCTGCCCAATAAATGGCTAATGGTTAAAGCCGTGATTCTCAACGTGTGGTCCCCAAGACCTTCCAGAAGGTACAGGAGGTAAAAACCATTTCCATAAGATACCTTCTTCTCTCCTACAATCATACAGTGAAATTTCCAGAATCGACTAGTAAGTGCTGTGCAGTGACCTCATCTTGTCCGTCGCTGATGGGATGTGTGCTCACGTTCTCTTGTGTTTCAAAAGCTCCTGTTTTAATTTCTAATATACCATAGCTCATATATAACCAAGAGCCCTCTGAGAGCATAATTTTGAAGAATATGAATGGGCTTTAGGATAAAGTTTGGCTCAGTAGATAGAGTGTCGGCCTGTGGACCGAGGGGTCCTGGGTTCGAATCCAGCCGAGGGCAGGGGGGGGGAAGGGAACAACTAATGGATGTCTCTCTCTCATCGATGTTTCTAACTCTCTATCCCTCTCTCTTCCTCTCTGTAAAAAATCAATAAAATATATATTTTTTAAAAAGTTTGAGAACTGCTGGTTTAAAGAAATATTTCAAAAAATAAAGTTACCCAAACTAAAACATCCCTTGTTTTGATCTAGATGAAACAACTCTATGCTGTGAGGCACTGATTTTTAGGTTGATTGAAATCCTAATCCTTAGGCTGACTGACATTGTAACTAACATTTCTACAGATTAATGAAACACACAAAAATACATACGTGAGTAGAGAATGGTTACTGAGTGACTTCTAACGGGCAGAGTCTTCTCTAAGTGATCTATATGTGTCCCTTCATCTAATCTCCAACCACCATCTGCAGGAGATGCTAATATCACATTTTATCCTGTGTACACTGAGGGGCTGAGTGGCCCAGCTGAGGAGTACATATGCTTGGAATCTGTCCCAGGCAGTCTTTACTGCCTCTTCCCCCTTTTTTCTGTATTAAGATTTGACATTCACTTGATAGGACAAAAGATTTTCAAAATATGGAATCCAAGGAAGTAGTGAAGAGAAATACGATCACCAATCTGACCCAACACCTTCACTTTATACATGAGAAAAAGCGAAGGTCAGAGAGGGTAAGTGACTTGTAAAATATCACACAGCAAAGCATCCAAATCCACTGCGTTTCTTACTCCCAGGGAGGAGCTCTCAGAAGTAAACACTGCAGCGTGTGAGCATCGCAGCACAGCGTGTAAGCAAGTGACACCAGGACTACATCCGAGACAACATCAACAAAAGCAGTTTGACTTTATTGCAGGGAAGCTAGGGAGGAGCAGAGCAGTGAGGTCTCCGCAGGAACTCCCAACGTGGGGCAGGATTGCCAGGTTCCAGATCTGTCTGGAAGGCAGGAGAGGAGCAGGGTCCTGGAAAAGACGAGACGTTAGTTGGGACAAGGGCGCCATCTGCTGTGCACGCGGATGCATTGCAGAAGCAGTCAAGTTATGAGAGGGGATGTGGGAAACCAGGTGCTGGACAAGACCCAAAAGCCCAGTGTCTAGCCCTGCTCATGGCTCATCTGTGGTTTCCAGCTTGACTGGAGCCCAGTGACCTTGCTAAGCCAAACACAGCCGAGGCCTCTTCTGGGGACCTCTGGAAGCTGTTGGGACAGCACTCCCTGTCCCGTTTCAACTTACACTGGGAAGGCAATGATCAGCATCCGGGGCAAACAAACCCGCCAAGAGATGGTCAAGGTGACTTCATAACCAGCAAACGTTCTAGCTCTTGTTCCCAAATCTGAAATCAGTCACTGGGGGCCCTCAAGCAGACTCAGACAGATGGGATGCTGCCTGGGTATGTAGGGCAAAACGCTTGATGGGTGATTCTCATCCAGTGCCATGAACCGAATCTCAGGGAGCCTTCCTGTACTACACACGGTTACTGACCTACGTGCAGATAAAAGCATTTGATGTCAGGAATGTTCTGTAGGACCGTATAGGTGGAGGAGAGGGGGGGAGAAGGGGGGAGGCCATAGATGAAATAATAGCAGCGACTGGACAATGGTTGGATCTGGGTGATGGGCACATGGGGATTCATTTTTACAACTCTGCTTGTAGGTGTGTGACACTTCCTACGATTTTAAAAATATAATTTAAAAAATCCAAAATAAATAAGAACTACGAGCATTCCCCAGCCACAGAAAGGAATGAAACACTGACCCATGCTACGCTTGAATAAATCTTGAAAACATGGTGCTAAATGTAAGAAACAATACACAAAAGGTCACACATTGTATGATCCCTTTTCTATGACATGTCCAGAATAGGTGAATCCAGAGGTGGAAAAGTTACTGATTGCCAGGAGCTGGGGTGAGGAGAGGGCAGTGGGGAGAGATTGCTTAATGGGTATAGGGAATTTTTCTGAGGTGATGAAAAACTATGAATCTAGGGAGAGGTGGTGATTATATGACATTGTGAATACACTAAATGCTGATGAATGATACACTTGAAAATGGTTAATTGCATGTTATGTGAATTTCACATCAATTTTAAAAAATACTATGAGAATGCCAAAACCGGTTTGGCTTAGTGGATAGAGCATCGGCCTGCAGACTCCCAGGTTCAATTCCGTTTGGGGGCATGTACCTTGGTTGCGGGCACATCCCCAGTGGGGGGTGTGCAGGAGGCAGCTGATTGATGATTCTCTCTCATCGGCGTTTTTAACTCTATCCCTCTCTCTTCCACTCTGTAAAAAATCAATAAAATATATTTAAAAAACAATACTATGAAAAAAAAACATTAAACCAAGCATGGTTTACAACTGGCAGGTATTAAAAAATTCACATAATGAAAAAAAAAATAATAATAAATAAATAAATAATAAATAAAATAAAATAAAATTCACATAATGAACCAGGCCGGGAGGTTCCAATTCAGTGTGGGTACTGGTGCTCCCTGTGTTTGACCAGCTCAGGAAGCTTTTGTCTTCCCTCCCTCCGTCCATCCCTCAGCCCCCCACAGAACCCTAAGGATGCAGGATAACGCTGGACACTGGTCTGCAGCACCTGGAGCTGTCAGTCTCTTTGAGAGATTTCACAGTAACCCCTGCCAGGCAGGAAAGCAGAGGAGAGCTGTGGCCCCATTTTACAGAAGGGAAGATCGAGTCTCAGCATGCAAGCAGAAGTGTCCAAAGTCACCGTGTGCAATGAGGGTGGGGCTGGAATCAGGATCCTGGGATTCTGACCGTTCATCCTGTGCTCATCCTGAATGTGGGTTGTAGCCATCAGCATGTGAGGTCACTTATATTCACAGGACACTGCCCTGGCCCAGATCCCAATGGGCACCTTTAGGAAGGAGGCTGTGCTCACGGGGACAGACGTGGCCCACCAGTCAATTGTGGCTGGCCGCCTCTACCTGGGGGGCTCTCCACGGGCCACTCGGGACAATGCCATCAGCCATTATAGACCTCGGGTTGAGGATGCTTGGCTCCCAGCCTGCCTCTGCCATTCACCTGGATGGGGCTTTCGTCACGCCACTTCCCTTCTGCTGGCCTCACTTTCCTCAACCAATAGTGAGAGCGCAGGGATGTGGCAATCACTGCCATTCCCGCAGCCCACGCACTACGTGGGGAGTGACAGCCAGGAGGCTGTGCCGTGAAGGGCTCTGAGGCTGTGACTGGGCACAGAGGGCACGCTGGGTGGACCAGTGCTTCTGCCCTGGTTCCCTAGTGAAGAGTGCTGGCACAGTGCCTCTTACTGGCCTCCTGGATTTCAGAAAATCAGCGGGAATATCCACGCCACTGTTCTGCATCCGTCTGCATACCTTCCTGGTGAGCACACAGAGCACAAGGCCCAGGGCATAGGTGTCACCTCTGATGGACAGGCAGCTTATCAAAGCAGAAAGCACGCTGCTCAGGGTCACTGCTACTTAGACCTGGCTGGTTGTGAAATGCATCCGTGTTATACAGGCGGCCCTGGGAGTCGTGGCCCAGGGCAACCTCTACTCACAGGCGCTGCGAGGGTTCCCTGGACACGTGATGTGCCTTAGATAATGAGCTATTCTGGCAGAGTGCCGGGGCCTCACCCACCTGCCCCCTCTGGTCCATCCTGTGGGCTGGGGGCCCGGGCCCTCACTCTTTGGGGCCGATGTAGTTAACAGTCTTCCCTGTTTTCTTCAGCGTCTCCAGCAGAGTGTCCACGCTGTGCTCAGAGTCGATGACAACCTTCTTGTTGGGCAGGTCGATCTCAAACTCAACTCCTGCAGGAAGAGGAAGAAAGAGAGTTCAGGCTCTGAAATTCTTACTCACAACCACTCTTTCCCTTTCCGCCACAGCAGGGGTTGGGGAAACTCCCTGTAAGGCTGCAGTTTGCCAATCCCTGCTCTAGACCAGGGCCTTCTTTTAAATGTCTTTTTAATTGCAAAAGTAGTTGAGACAGCCTGACTGGTGTGCTTACTGGTTAGAGCATTGGCCAGGCACCCAAGGGTCATGCGTTCGATTCCCGGTCAAGGGCATGTACTTCGGTTGCAGGTTCGTTACCTGTCCCAGTCCAGGTGCATGCACCTGGCAACCAATCAATGTGTCTCCTCAGTCCCCTGCTGAGGGACACCGAGGTTGCCTCCAGTTCCTCACTGTTACCACAACAGGGCTATAGTAAACGTAGGTGAACGTGTCTTATAAAACCTTTGAAAGTATTTCTGTCGCATACCTTCACAGAGTTGAAATCGTTTGCAACCTGGCACAATGGTAACTGCTATTGCAAAACTGCCTTCTTCAAGGCACAGGGGAGAATGCAGAATGGGTCTTACTGAGACAACAGAATGCAGAGGGAGGGCCCCTGGCAGGTTCCAGGTGTGGCTTCACCACTGACTTGCTGGGTTCTGCCCAGGACAGTCCTCAGTTTCCCCATCTGTACTGAAAGAGCTGGGTTGGCCAGCCCCAATGGTCTTTCCGAGTTCAGGTATGCTGTTCGTCTGTGATTTCTCAGGGCTCCAACTAACTTGTAACCTTTCTGACCCATCTCAAAAGGCCGCCCAAATGAGGGAAAGTAGTAAAAGATGGGAAGAAACCTGCCCAAATTCAAGAGCAGATCCCCAAGCCTCGGACAAAGGGCCCTGACCATCACATGGCAGAAGGTTGAGTGCCCGAATTTGTACCTAATGACACTGGGGGGGAGTGCTATAATGTATCCGTGCTCCACTCTCGGCTTTTTCTTTTGGTTCAGAAGTGTCTCCCTCCTCTTTGGAATAAGTGTTTGGGGTGTAATAGAGCTGGGAGAAGCCCTGGGACCATCTACCACAGCGGGTTTCAAATCTGCCGCCCGGTTCCTGTGCAGGTGTCCTCATGGGCAGAATGGCCCCCTTGTCTGATCCAGGCCGAGCCGCTCTGTCTAGGAGGCGCTTCTGAGCAGAAGCTCACTCCGAGTGTCCACAGCAAAAGCAGACACAGGCTGACATCCCCATATTGCAGCCGGGGAAACTCAGGCCGGTTGGAGAAGAAGCCAGTCATGTGACAGGTCAGCAGCCAGGTTCTTTCCACCGTTTCTTTCAGATCCTAGTTACCAGGACTAGAAACCGGCCAGTGACTCACTGGGAATCTGGGCAAGTCCCTTCCCCTTGGGACACTGGCGTCAACAGCCCCATTCCACAGAAGGAATGCACCGCTCCGAGGACCTGCTGCAAGTGCTGCCCAGAGCACATCCACGCGGAAGCCCTTTGGAAAGGGGGTGTTATCATCATCTAGCCCAGTGGTCGGCGAACTCATTAGTCCACAGAGCCAAATATCAACAGTGCAGGGATTGAAATTTCTTTTGAGAGCCAAATTTTTTCAACTTAAACTTCTTCTAACGCCACTTTTTCAAAATAGACTCATCCAGGCCGTGGTATTTTGTGGAAGAGCCACACTCAAGGAGCCAAAGAGCCACATGTGGCTCAAGAGCCGCAGTTTGCCGACCACGGATCTAGGGTTTTAAAAGTGAAAATCTTGGAAGACGGACTGCCACAGCACTACCGGAATTCTGTTCGCAGCTCGGCCATTGCTTCCTGGAGGCCCAGGGCCAGCCCTCAGCCCTCCCGGGGCCTCAGTTTCCCCAGCTCAGAGTGGAAGGAGCTGAATGAGAACAAAGATTTTCTAAATATGTCCCAAAGAGGTGCTTTAGGAGTTCTACACATGACTTTTTCAAAGTTTACTTTTTAAATTGTTATCATTTTAAAAATCTTAATAGGAAAGGGACTCAAATGTGTCACATGACAAAAGCGATCCCACTGGAGATCACCAACGTACTGACTCATACCGACAGGGCTCCGGAGCAGGATAGCATGGCCAAATCCCAGCTCTGCCACTTACTGGCTACAGGCTGTGTGATCCCAGTCAAGTTACTCAACCTCTCTGAACTTCAGTGCCCTCCTGCTATCACGGAGATAGTCTAAGAAGCTACCTAGCCCTATCCCGTTTGGCTCAGGAGATAAGAGCATTGCCTGGTTTGCAGTCTTGGTCCCTGTACGAGTCAACTAATCCATGTGTTTCTCTCTCTTTTTGTCTCTTCCCTCTCCCTCACTCTCTCTCTTAAAAAAAAAAAAAAAAAAAAAAAATCAATGAAAAAATATCCTTGGGTGAGGATTAACCAAATCAAAAAAGAACTGCCTAAATGGTGGTGAGGATTAAATGAAAGCCAGTAAGAAGAGTACCTGGCACATGCTAAGCACCCAATTCGTCTTAGTTGTGCTGTTATTATCACCTTCAACCCAAACTCCTCCTGCTCCATGTCTGCAAGCATTTGGACACAATATGAAGTGTATTGGCCACCCCCACCTCAGCCCCAACCAAGGGCCATTCACTCACCTCCTAACTTGTTGAGGACCCGAGCGACAGCGTTAGAACAGCCTTCACAAGTCATCTCTACAAAGAACTCGTGCTTCTGAAACAAACAAAGGGGACCATGAGCCAAGACCTGCAGGCAGACCCACATACCCCACCAGCACGCAGGCCCACTCAAGGGCCAGGACACGGGGCAAGGTCTGGCTGTCGTCAGACTCACCCGTAGCCTGTTTCTGGGCCCCACTCTCTTCAAAACGGGGTAACTAAGGATTTCTGTATCTCACAGGCTGCTGTACTAGGTGAGATAATCCCTACAGCTCCTTTAGCAGTGTCTGGCACTCAACAGTTCAATCAGCTGGGAAGCTAGTTTAGTGTTGGTTTTTGCCTGAGCTGGTTTGGCTCAGTGGAGAGAGCATTGGCCTGCACACTGAAGGGTCCTGGGTTCGATTCCAATCAAGGGCACATATCTGGGTTGCATGCTTGATCCCCAGTTGGGGGCATACAGGAGGCAGCCAATCAATGCTTCTCTCTCATCATTGATGTTTTTCTCTCTCTCTCTCTCCCCTCTCCCTTCCTCTCTGAAACCAATAAAAATATATGTATTTTTTTTAAATGTTAGTTTCTAGTCTCACCTTCAAAATCCTGATTCTTGAGGTCTTGTACCCAAGGTATGAGCAAGTGGGTTTTTGTGTGTGTTTTTTTTAAATATATTTTATTGATTTTTAACAGAGAGAAAGGGAGAGAGATAGAGAGCTAGAAATGTCGATGAGAGAGAAACATCGACCAGCTGCCTCCTGTACACCCCCTACTGGGTAGGTGCCCGCAACCAAGGTACATGTCCCTGACTGGAATCGAACCTGGGACCTTTCAGTCGGCAGACTAACGTTCTACCACTGAGCCAAACCGGCTTCGGCGCAAGTGGGTTTTTAATATTTAAGTCCAGCCTAGTACCAGGAATGCTCAGGCCCTTCTCAAGAAGGCAAATAATCCTCTCCACTAATACACACATGATAAAATAAGATAGTTGTCAGAGTGTTGAGTTTGACAGTTGAATAGTAGCCAGCTTCTCAGAGGAAATTAAATTGGCTAATGGAAATAAGCGACTATTCTATAAAAACTGATTGTACTGTACAAAAAGCTGTTCCTAAAGTGTTAACAAAAATTCTTTTTTTTTCATTTTTATTTTTATTTTTTTATTTTTTTTTCATATTTTATTGATTTTTTAAATATATTTTATTGATTTTTTTTACCCCCCTCCCTCCCTCCCTCCCTCCCACCCATCCCCTCCCTCCCCAGAGTTTTATGAACATTGGTTGTACTTATATGCATGTATACAAGTCCAACAAAAATTCTTATTGGTAGAGCATCTCATGGTAAAATTGCGTAACATGTAATGAACCTAAAGCAATCACAGTTTAGCACAAATAATTAAAATGTAAAAGTTATCAAGACTACATTAGCCGAAACCAACTTGGCTCAGTGGATAGAGCATCGGCCTGCGGACTGGGAGGTCCCAAGTTCGATTCCGGTCAAGGGCATGTACCTTGTTTGCGGGCACATTCCCCAGTGGGGGGTATACAAGAGGCAGCTGATCGATGTTCTCTCTCATTCATATTTCTAACTCTCTATCCTTCTCTCTTCCTCTCTGTAAAAAATCAATAAAATATATAAAAAGAAAAAGACTACATTATAAAATTTCCAAAAGCCTCCTATTATTTAAATTAAAAAAGGGGGTGACAGTGGAAAAATAACATGTAAGGAAAAATATCCTGCGTGTAAATTACATCTAGAAAATTTGTACTTTAGAAAATTAACCTTCATTTGAAATGCTAACAGTAAGAAACCCAAGAAAATACACACGGTGTCAAAACAAGCCAGAGGAAAATCATTTGGGGGGGGGGGGGGAAGAAAAGAAAAAGGATCCCAAGTCAAATTTATAGAAAATATCCTTTTATTAACTCTTGGTCGAGAATATGCTTGTATATTTTCAGAAAACAACTCCAAGACTATCTGGATTCCTGCAACAGAAAGGAATTGACAGGGGTGCTCCAGCCATGAAGACAGAATAGAAACAATTCAGATATGGAAGACGCTGACAATGCCTCGCCATACCAGCAGACAGCAGCTGTGTGCCCAGGACCAAACCAGAGACGGTTGGACCTACATCACCTCCAATTGTCCACCAACCAGATCTGAAATATCATGGCTGACATGTACACATAAGGAACTGTTTGACATTGAAATTGGGACTCAGAAGAACTGTTGGCCCAGAAAGGAACTCACTACAGACTGATTCATTTGCCTCTCAGCATAACCATTATGGCTTGTTCAGTTTCGGTTCTTACAAGGGTATTTCTTAGAGATCACATGATCTCACACATCTAGAGGAAATAAAGAACAACATAAACTGATGAACAAAAACAGACCCAGAGAAAGAGAAGCAACGATCAGACTCTCAAACCTCAGAGGGAAGGTAGGGGTGGGTGGGGATAAAGGGGAGAGATCAACTAAAGGACTTGTATGCATGCATATAAGCCTATCCAGTGGCCATGGACAACAGGGGGGTGAGGGCATGTGTGGGGAGGGGTGTGGGATGGGAATGGGGGGATGAGGACAATTATGTGATACCATAATCAATAAATAAAAAAACAAACAAAACAAACAAAAAAAAACACCAACAACAAAAATCCTGATTCTTGAGCTATGGGGCTACCTCAGGACCATCAAATGTGACATGGTTGGACGCTCATCCTCAGAGCCATGCTGGTCTGGTTGTCTTATTTATGCATCGCAGATTAGCTACATTAGAATCACCAGGGAGCTTGCAAAAACTCTAGGTTCTGATGAGCAAGAGTAGGCTGGGGTGTGTACAAGGGCAAGGAAGCTTCCCTGGTGATTTCGATATACAGTGACCACTGCTCTCATCCAAACGCCTCATTCTCAGAGGCAGCCCTAATGCCTGGGAAAAGAGTGGGTTTGCATGGGAAGCCAGGCTCCTGGTCTCTTCCTGCAGGCCTGACACCCACAGTTTCCATGATCTCCAACACACTGAGCTCCCAGAAGACGGAGACTTGGTCCACGTCACTGCTGCAACCCCAACACGGGCACAGCTCGGAGACAGTGCAAGTTTGACTCCAGACCACCACAGCCCGGCGGATATTGCAATAAAGCAAGTTGCAATCTTTGCCTGGAAAGGGAGCTGGTCACCTTACTTTACTCAGGAGGAAACTGAGGTCCCAGGGGTTCAACTGCCCACAGTCCTGTGGCAGGTGTGTGCTGAGGCTGGCATGTGAACCCAGGCTTTCCTGGCTCCGGGGACATCCTGTTGGTTCTGGACCAGCAATCAGCACTGCCACCTACCATCCCTCCCCCAACTCTGACTCGTGGCAGGAGGTCTGCGAGTGAGCACACCTCATGAGGTAGCATGGGTTTCTACAGCTAAGGGTCTAAATCACCAGCTACCTGCAGCTTTCTTCTGCAGACTACAGACAGGTCTCCTTCCATCCTCACAGTGCGGTGGCCGAAGCCAGCAGGAGGCTTCTCTGTGGCAAACATTACAGTCCAATGTTCTCCCCCTCCACTTGAAGTGCAAAAGCAAATTTGGGGGTGGTGGAAAAATCTACTTGATGGACAGCATACGACCTTCTTCACAGAGAATCCCAAGACCGCCCCGCACTGCCCAACACTTGACTTTATGCAGCTCCAGGCCCTCAAAGCCTCTGATCTGTCACCTGAAAATGGGTCCTTTAAAGTCGATGGAAAAAATCCAGGAAGCTGTACAACTCTATCACAGGATCTCAGAACTGGGAAGGCGGGACTAGAGTGGGGTCACATGGTCCAGAGGGATTCTTTCTCAACTCTCCAAGACAGTTGGGTTTTGAACACCCCAAATACTGGGAGGTTACTACTGGAAATGTCTGAGTGCCTCCTCGGTGCCAAACTTTTGTTCTAAGCGCCTTCCGTGAGTTACACTGTTTAATCATCACAACAACCCCATGAGTTAATCACTGTAATTATCCCTTCTTGACAAATAAGAAAATTGAAGTTCAGAAGTTTGGCCACTCACTCAGTGTGATAGAGCTAGTGAGTAGCAGGGCCTAGGCCGGACCTAGTCTCCAAAGCCTGAACTCTTAACCACTGCGGTCCTTGTGCTAAAATGAGGTTTGAAATCTGCCTGCCTATAGTTCTACCCTACTTGTCCTAAATCTACACAGGAGCTACCATTTCCTGTGGGCTGGCTATGTCAGTGGCTGTGCCAAACATGTTAGTGGCATTTTTCCAGTTAACACTAACAACAGTCCCCAGAGGTCAGTTTTTGTTGTTGTTGTTGTTTGTTTGCTTTTTAATATATTTTTTTATTGATTTCAAAGAAGGAGAGGGAGAGAGAGAGAGGTAGAAACATCAATTATGAGAGAGAATCATCCATCGGCTGTCTCCTGCACACCTCCCACTGGGGATCAGGCCCACAACTAGGGCATGTGCCTTAGACTGGAATCGAACCTAGGACCCTTCAGTCCATAGGCTAATGCTCTATCCACCGAGCCAAACCAGCTAGGGCCTGGGAGGTCAGTTTTTATCAGATGAGGAAATCAAGGTGCAGCTTAACTGAAGTCATGTGGTTGGCAAGCAGAAGCACAGATTTTCAAAAAGGTTTTTGAGATTCCAAGTGCCTGGGAAACCTCTCAGGTGACATTCCTCCCCCTCCTTCCTTCAGCTGTTCATTTCGTAACATAGCACCAAGTGCCCTCCATACCCGTCATCCCTCTGAAGGGTCTTTTGTTTGTCAAAATCCCCAGAAGTGAGCACAGAACGGTGATCCCCCAGCTGGCCTTCCTCTCACCACCATGCCCCACAAAAACCTGGTGGCCTCCATGATCCGGGTCCCAGGGCGATTAAATGCCATTCTCTAACATTTGCTCAACTGGGAGGGCAGATCCTGTCAGGTTCTTAGTCCCTACTTTGCGTTGCCTGAGGATTTGTCTCAAGGCACCTGCCAAGACCCAAGGGAAATGACACCTGAGATGTTTGTGGCTTGACCCAGGGGCCTCTGGCTCACCTGCCAGCTTCCCCAAAGCTAGGCTGCTAAGACACAGGGCGCCGGTGAGACACCTCTGAGTACTCACTGGGGGCAGAGCTGAGAAGGAGGCACCATGGGGGGGTGGAAGTTCTATACACCACGTGACCCAACCAGGATCTCTAGGATGCAACTGGGTTCAAAGGTTCCTCCCTAGCCAATGTGACTATTTCTGTCTGTGCATGGCCAGACCAGAAGAGACAGGAAGTCTGAAGATAAGGGGATTAAGGATGGCTCCATCCAACTCTCAAGACCTTAAGTAAATTATGCTTTGGTTTTTGTTTTTTTGTATTTGCAAAAGGCTTTAATTCCTTTTTTTTCCCCCCCCCCCTTCAAATTATAATAGAAAGTTACAGAGGTAGTGTAAGTGAGCCAGCTGGGCTTCTAAAACAAGTTACAGAAGCAAAAGAAGGGCCCTTGGAGCTTAGGAGAATGGTAAGGTGGGGGGGAGGGTTGTGGGGAGGATGAAGAAAAGGACGGGAAAGGCAGGGAGTGTGCTCTGGAGAGAGGGAAAGAGAGCCAAAAAGCCTTAATTTCCTTTTAAAAAAAAGTTTTAAAAATTGATTTTGAGAGAGAGGAAGAGGGAGAGTGAAACATCAATGTGAGAGCGATATGTCAATCGGCTACCTGGGATAAGCCTGCAACCGCACGTGCCCTGATCAGTAATGGAACCAGCAATCTTTTGGTGCCAGGGAGTTGCCCAACACACTAAGCCACTCCGGCCAGGGCATGATCTTAATTTCTTATCTACAAAATGAGGCCAGGAGCAACCAGAAATATGCAGAAAGGCTGACAGGGCTGCACAGACCAACGAAGACCTGCTCATGCCTTCCCAAACTCTGCCAATGAGCAACTGGAGACTTTGGGCAGGTCCCTGAACCACTCCGGGGCTCAGCAAGTGGCCGGGGAAAGTCCTGGGTCCATTCAGTGACTCCCGGGACAGAGTGGGCGGGGAAGGGAAGAAAAACACGGACCTCTGAAAACCTGCCTAGTCCGAAAGGCAATAGCCACCCCTCCTCCCCCCACCGCCCGCCCCTCTCTCCCAGCCAGCTCCCCGGACCGGTGTGTCCAGGTGGAGGACGCCGGGACCGGGACAGGGACCGGGACCAGGTCTGGCTCGCCCCCCACTCCCGGGTGAGCTCGGGCTGCTCTTCTCCCCGCGCCCCCTAGTCTCTGCAGGGAAGGACTGGGCTTGTAATCGCTGAAGGCCTTGCAGTTTCGATGCTTTGGAGCCTGACTTTCACATAAAAACCCCTTTCAGCATTCGGTTTTCCCGAGAGGCGCCGAAGCAGGGGCTGGTGGGGAGGGCTGGGAAGAGGGGCGATGGCTCTGGCTGCGCCCGAGCCCTGGATGAGCAGCTTCTGGCCATGCAGACATGCAGCCGCGGGCTGCATGGGGCCGGGGCGAGCGGCCACTTACCGGCATGACTGAGGGTGACGGTGGGCGGCGGCGTGGACGCTTCTCTGGGTTCTATCCGCTGGCGCTGCTGAGCTTCCGGGCGAGCGTGCTGGGCAGCCGCCCCGCAGGCCAGGCCCCTCCCTCTCCCCTCCCCCGGCAGTTAGGCCCCGCCCTTATCCCGCCCCCGGTAGTTAGGCCCCGCCCCACCCCGAGCTGCCGGCCCGGTTGGCCCTTCCGCCTCCTTCTGGTGGGCGTGGCTGGGACACCCGCCACTTGTGAGCGAGGCTGCGAGCTGGACTGGCCCCAGCCGCCTGCTGGCCTTTCTTAGAAAGCTTGTTTCCTTTCAGGGTTGTTTTAGGGGCTGGAATATAGGGCCCCTGAGTTAGTGCCCAGGACAGATCCCGGTTTTTTCCTAAAGCCGAGGTCTGCAAACTCATTAGTCAACAGAGCCAAATATCAACAGTACGACGATTGAAATTTCTTTGGAGAGCCAAATTTTTTCAACTTAAACTTCTAATGCCACTTCTTCAAAATAGACTCGGCCAGGCCATGCTATTTCTGTGGAAGAGCCACACTCAAAGGGCCAGATAGCTGCATGTGGCTCGCGAGCCGCAGTTTGCCAACCACAGCCCTAAAGGGACAGCCTCATGTGTTCACTAAGTCACTATTAAGAGTGAGTCACAATGCAGAAGTGGAAAAGCAGGGAGCCAAGGAAGCGTGTGAAATTGCAGTGTTAACGGAGTCGTGTCATGGGAGTAGGAAAGGCTTACTCAGACTGGAGTGTGGGTGGTGGGGGCCTGGGAGGAGCAGGGGGTTCTGGAAGAGAGCAGACTTGTGCAGGAGGGATATCTGAGCTTAGGGAAGAGTGAGTGCACCTTCATCTGGTCTGGGGTGGAAGAGCCTTTCCCCCACTTCCCAAGGTGCTTTCTGCTGGTCTAATAATTACGTTGTCATGAGGCAGATTAATCTGAGGAAATAACCCACTTTAGTAACATATCAATGTATGGGAACCCCACGTACATGAGAGAGTCGGAGACCCCATGTCCGTGAGAGTTCTGAGAGACAGGAAATGACGAATCTATGAAATTCTGAGCTAAGGATGAGGTCAAGTACTCAGAGCTTCAAAGGCAAGGAAGGTCATTCTCAGAATAAGAAGAACAGGAAGAAAAGAAAAAAAAGAGCAGAAGTTCAGTAATTAGAAGTTTGCCCTAACATACAGATAGGTCATAGAAAAGTTATTTCTGGTCATAAATCTTATTATGGGCAAAGTCCCTCATTTAAATTCTTCTAGGTATTGGGGGTGGGGGGTGGGGGCACACAAGTTTCTCCTGAGTGTAACAGGACTCAGTTGTCTTTAGCAGAAAATAATCCACATATCAAAGAGGCTCATCTTGGGGTAACTCATTGTGAGGCCCTACATGATGAAAGTAGATGAGAAATTTGGTAAGGAGGGAGGCAGGCAAAATAGTAAGAACAAAACTGGGAAGACAAGTGTGAGCATGGTTTAAGAGGTGGAGATATTCAGACTGAGAGGCAGACAAAGGGAGATGGGTGTTGTGGGGTCGAACCCTGGGTTCAAAATAAGACCACCAGAGGCTGAAGATCGACTTAAAAAAGCAGGCAAGGGTTTATTGAAAAACTGGCCAGGACAGCCTCGGGAGCACCACACGCAGGTGGGCCCCTCATGACTGCACTGATCCAGGTGTAGGCAATCCCTTTTAAAGCTTCAAACCACAGGAATTTCCCTTTGTTCTAAATTCTAAAGGCTCGGAACATTGGAATGTGGCCTATCTTGCCCATAATACAAAAGCAGAACTCAGAGGTTAATCTCTAAAGGTAATCAGTAGTTTCTACCCCTGAAGCTACTGAGTCAGTGGGAGTCAATCTCCTATAACTACCCTATTGTTTAAGCAAGTAATAGAAGGTCGAAGTCAGATAGCAAGGTTAAAATTCAAACAACAGTTTTTACCCAAGTATGATTGCTACCATATTTCAATGGGAAAATGAAACAACAGCCACGGGTGAAGGCAGATGGAGGCAGATGCTGTAGGTCACTTCCAGAGAAACAGACATGCCAACATTTGGAACTTCAGACACACACACACACACACACCAAACAAACAAACAAACAAACAACTCAGATTGAGCCCTTCCTGGGTAGCCAGTTGGTTAGAGCATCGTCTCGATACGCCACAGTTGCAGGTGCAATCCCTGTCAGGGCACATACAAGAATCAACCATTGCCTGACCATCGTGGCTCAGGGGTTGAGCATCAACCTATGAACCAGGAGGTTATGGTTGGATTCCAGGTCAGGGCATTTGTTGGGATTGTAGGTTCAATTCCCGTTGGGGGGCATGCAAGAGGCAACCAATGGATGATTCTTTCTCATCATTGATGTTTCCATCTCTCTCTTTCTCGTCCTCAATAAAAATATTTCTAAAATTATTTTTTTTAAAAGAATCAACCAATGAATAAATACATATAATAAATCAATCTCTCTCTTTCTCTCCCATCCTCTCTCTCAAATCAATTAAACACACAACACACACACACACACACACACCCCAAAAAACCTCAGATTTCTAGCCCTGGTTGGGTAGCTTAGTTGGTGCGAACACTGTCCCAATACACCAAAGTTGCAGGTTTGATCCCTGGTCAGGGCACATATAAGAATCAACCAATGAATGTATAAACAAGGGGAATAACAAATCAATGATCTCTTGCTCTCTCAATTCAATATATAAACTTAAAAAAAACAAAACACCCTCAGATTTCTAGGCCTCAGCCTGGTTACATTGCCTCTGAATTTCTAGGCCTACTTTTAGTCCCCCAACCCCCCTCCTTTTGGCTTGGGAAACCACTGGATGAAGAAAACTATCATCTAGCCGAAACCGGTTTGGCTCAATGGATAGAGCGTCGGCTTGAGGACTGAAGGGTCCCGGGTTCGATTCTGGTCAAGGGCATGTGCCTTGGTTGCAGACATATCCCCAGTGGGGGGTGTGGAAGAGGCAGCTGATCTATGACTCTCTCTCATCGATGTTTCTAACTCTCTAACTCTCTCCCTTCCTCTCTGTACAAAATCAATAAAATATATTTTTAAAAAAAGAAAAAAGAAACTATCATCTTAACACATGAAACCTTTTTGAGATAGTGTGCTGGTTATTGTCTCTCAGCTCCAATTCATCCTTTTTGCCTACTCTGTGAAAATGCATCTGGACCATTACATGTTTTTCCTTTGCCCGCTGGCAGGATGTTGAGCTTCCTCAGTCAAGTTTTTGTAGAGATGCTGGGAGGGGAAAGGTTTTCCTTCCTGGTCTCTGTAGAGGGCCCCTTGGGAATGCACACGGATAACCTTTAAATTAATGTCAGCTAAGTCTGAGGCGACTGGCATGGCTGTCCAGGAAACAGCCTCCCAAAATGTTATGAATACAGATTTCTTATCTTTATCCGTGAGCTTTGAATGAAAAACAAATAGGGCCTTGACTTACCCAGGTCTTGATATGCTAAATCCCAGGAGTGAGGGAATGAATAGGACCTGGGCACACCCAACACTCCTTTGTCCTTAAACCCCCCTCTGGAAATCAATAATAAATGTGCTGTGTTGTCCCTCCATCAGAATGACAGCCTCCACCCGGAACCCAGCTTGATGAATCTACTTCTGCCTCTTGTCTCTTTCTTTCTTTTATGTCTTAATCCCCAGCTCCTCCACTCAGGAACCTGTCCTTCTCCCTTTCCGTGCGGGATGCAGAAAAAGGAGAAGCACCCCACCGCAGTCTCAGTGTGCTCCCCTAGGCGTGTGTGGCTGCCCCAGGCCCAGCTTGAGGGTGGCTTCTCCAGCTCCAGGCTCCTGCTGACTGGGGGACCAGCAGCACCTAGCAGCCAGCAGCTCAAACCCTCTCCCCCCATCACCAGTACCTACCCCTTGTGTGCTTTCGTAGCAGAGTGCCTCCAGTGAGATGCCTCTATGAAGAACCTCTTCCAGCATCCTTGCAGGTGGTTTTCCAGCCCACAGGCTGGGTGTCCAGCAAGTTCCACCACCAGGGAGCTCAGTGGACCAAGCCTGGATCTCAACCTAGGGGTGGCAGTGGGGTCAGGTGGGGGGAATTCTTGTTGGGAACGGTTATAGGGTTAAGCCTCAGACTGAACTGCTGGCAAAGTCGCAAACAAGTCCCAGCTTAGAGGACACAGCCCTCGAAGCATAATTAACCTTGATCTTGTGACTGCTCCCTAGATCTTAACTGGGGAGCTAATGGCTGTGGGAGGAGCAGCAAGTGCTGCCAAAATAAGGAAACTTACAAGAACATTGTAAATTACCTTGTTTGCCCCTGATTACAAATGAAAAGTTAGCTTTGCAATCTGGTACAGAAGATCCATCCAGACCCAGCTTATTAATTTTGTCTGTCTTCTTCATCCTTCACCAGCTCGCAGAACCCTTGGCTGTGCTGGCACGGCTCAGATTCTTCCTTAGGTGCTCTACCTTGCTACCTTGGCTACATGGTGTTCTATCGTTTGGTTGTCCCATAGTTTATTTAACCAGCCCTATGGCAGAAACCATTGGTTGGCTCATCCAACACTCGTCCCCAATCTTTTTTTTTTTTTTTTTCTTGTTCCCACTGCATTTATTATTAATATAAAAAACGTTAAAAAGAAACAAAATTCACTTTCAGTTCTCCAACGGCTCTCACCCTCCCTCTTGTCCACACAACTCCTGACCATGTCCTCAGGGCCAGTTCCAGACTGAGTCTGCTGATTGCTGTTTTCACAGAAAACAACCAGCAGCAGCGACAGAGGTGGGAGCGAGCGACGGAGGTGGGAGCGGGCGACTAGACGTCCTGTTGAGATTCACAGAATTCACACGGAAGGCCTGGGGCCTCCCTGGGACTAGGCTAAGAACACGGCTGTGGACGAAATGGGGTAGGCCCACCAGAGGCTTAGAGCACACCTCATGGGCCCATGTCAAACCCAAAAAAGTGGCACCAGAGAATGGGGGGCCAGGGTGGCAGTCTTGCGGGAAAGTCCCAATGCTC